GCCGATAAGAAGTTACACGCGTCCGAACAACTTGTACAAGTCGTACAATGCTCCGCTTAATGTCAAGCAATTTGCCTATAACGGCGTGTCGGCATGTCGTCGTTACCGATATGCCACATGACTGCTGTTGTTGACGTTCCTCACCTACTTTCGTTTCCTATGTTGGTGCTTTAGTGGCGTCTCAGCTATTGGAAAAATGCAAAGAAATGCGCCTCTAAAATAATACCGTTAATAAATTCAACGCTCCACTTGTGGCTGCGAGAAAATTGCAGCATTCATGCGTGCATTCAATTGGCTGCCTCGGCGGTATTTGCATAGAAATGTTTTTAGTTTAAAAGTGAATGCGTCTATTATTTAAACGTAATTAAAATGTAAGTTTGAAGTTTTTCACTGTAAATTCACTTTGCCTTGCCTACTTCAAGGCGCGCGCGCACTTTCTATGTAGGTAAATATGCTGCTCATTTACATATGACTTTTAATTACAATAGTATTTGACGTAATCACGTGCGCGCTTTTAATTATGCGTGCGAATAATTTTGACATACATCCTGCCTTGTTGTAAGTGAAATGAAATACAATCAGATTTATGAAATCCTAGATATAATATAGAAACTGTGCTGACTGCTCATTAAAGTAGTAAATAATTTTTAGAGCTCTTCAAGCTTTCACTTGAATTACTTTTCGAAATATTTCTTTGCACTTTTCTGCACATTAAATTTCATTTGACCCCAAAAACCACTTCAAATGCACATGTGCGACACATACACAAATACGCATATATTGTAGTATATAAGAAGATGTATTTTTTTGTATTACTGTACAAAAGAACTTTCATATTGCTTTATTATTTCAAAGTGAACACTTCTGGAAACGCCATCTGTCTCTTCGATAAGCAAACGTATTTACTTTTAGCCTCTCATATTCATTACTTCATACTATATATTTACATATATATAAATATCTGAAACCTTTAAACATAATGTGTACTAAATTTTGCGATTCGCAAAAAGCTTAACAAATCCTTGAAGATAACTTAAGCCGCAAAAGCCTACAAAGCAAAATTCGCAGTAAAAAACATTCAATGTGAAAACCAAAATTTGTCCAGACATTTGTTCGAAATTCTTTTGTCCAGCAAAAATACGTCAGGCGGAAAATAATATTGGTGAGTAGTAGAAAAAAACAGAGATATTTTCGCACAGCTTACACATATAAGCTTGCATGTTGAACAATATCTAGTCTTAGGTGAAATAATGCCCTTTAGGAAATATTAAGTTAATACATTGGTGTTCACAGAAAATACTTAATTTATCTCTTAAGTTTTATATTATATTTAAATAGCTTTTATAATTTCTAAGAAGTACAAATGTCAATTCACATATCATATCATTTGAAATACTAAATACCGACGAAACATATTTCATTAAAGTAATTTTCACAAAATGCTTAACAACTCAACGATTACACTCTTCCTGATAACCGACACCATAGGCGTGATGTACAATATTTTAACAGTAAGAGTGTAAACTGCCTTGACAAACGGGATATTAAAATGAACTTCAAGCAAGAGGAAAGAACTGAAAACATTTCCATTCAAGATTTGTATTAAGAAATTATTTTAAGCATTCCCCTACATATATATATATTTGTGAGTGTAGATACAATAGATTTAGAAGTTTGGAACGGCTAGTGTATGGAGGTGGACTTAACCTAGAATCATATCAGAAATGCGCTAAGGCAAAAAGTACAAATTTTTTGAAATATATTTGGTAACAAGTTTTCCATACCACAGGGCCATATTTCTTTATAGGTCTAACCAAAGTTAAAAAAAAGTTTTATTATGATATGGATCTCTCAATTCTTTAGATCAAATGTTTAACAAAACTAAGAATACATTTAGATTCAAAAACATCGTATTAATGTGAAGACTAAAATTAAGCTTAGGCTCCATAGTAAGTCACAATTGAATAATTCAAAAATAATTTACATTCAATTCGTTTATTGATTCTGGGAGCCGCTCCCAACTATGAAAAATCCAGTAGTTAAACCAATTAATTAAACAGTATTAAATAAACATTTTTGAAAATAATAAACTACCGCTACAATAGCCTCGCTATTCTCGAGCTCACTGCATTTTCTTCCTCTCTAATTAAAAGTTATCAACTCAATAAGTTGATCCCAAGCTCTCCACCTCCTATATGTTGTGTCAAGTTACTTTGAAGTGAAAAATTAGACCCCACTTAACAAAAAAATGAATATTTTAATGAGAAAAATGGAATATAAGCTAAAATTCAATACTAACATCAATAAATTAGCTAAGAATTTCGGCGACTATTCTTTCTCATACACATCCCTACATTTGCCAAAACCCATGAAAGAATGTTAAAACTCTACTTAATATAAGAAATATATATATTCTGAGCCGTTGAAACTTATAATGAGTTAAGTTTGACCCACTAGAGACTGTAATCTTGTGCGATGCAGCATTGTTCGCCGAACGACTATAATATTTAGGAAATTATTATGCCGGTTCTTTTCTCTCCAAGAAGCTGCTCATTTGTTGCACAAATCTAGCAAAAACTTAAAAAGGTATTAGTATGTTTTAAAATGGCACAATTGCATGATATAATAAAATTATTTTGCAAATTCATTGAGGAAGCTTCGATTCCGCGCAGGGTATTTTATGTCCGTATAGTGTTGCACTAATGACCTACCCCCTGCAAATGCTCAGAAACCAGCGCAGCAGACACTTTTAAAACAGCTTTGTCGTATGCCATCGTTTACCACCTTATGCGCACAACCTCGCCACCCTTCAACTGCCGTTCGCTTTTATACATTCTAGTATTTTTTCTGATCGACGGGCGGTAATTTGTCACATTCTTCGCAATCGCTGGCAGAATACACCACATATCTAAATTCACGTTTCACACACTTATTTCCGCCGACCAATGCAATTTTTCACAATTTGCCACCTGTGAAATGTACATACACTAATGTACTCATATGCTTGGTTGTAGTGGTGTGTGTGATATGTTGGGATCTCTATTGAGTTAATGCTTTATTGTGACATTATTTAATATGTCAAAGAGCGAACTCATACGAATCGGATTAGTTAAATTCCATTAAGAATGAAAATGAAAACGAAAATGAGAGATCGACGCACTGTTGAGCGGATGAAGACATCAATGAAGCAAAAATATTTGATTAAAAATCACAAAAATACGCATCGATTGTCGTAACGCCTGCTGATATGCATCGCTAATAGTCTCTGTGTGTGTTCGGCAATATTGTGGCAAATCTCAGAGCGTGTGAGGCTAAATGGAAGTTTTATGAGGTAACACAGACATACATATACACTTACATATAATAATACAGACTCACATATATGTAATCGCCTATTCCCTGTACATTTTTATCTTTCCATAGATGCTTTTACATATCCGCTTAGCGTATTGTATTGATACAAGATGTGGCGTTCCCCAGCGTATTGAAATGCTCTTTTATAATTCGCGTGACGACTACAGAGGCATAAGCATATAGTATATAGTATGCATATATATTTATAGAGTACATATTAATATTGTATGAAAGGAGCTACATGTGTGGCTTTACTATTCAAAAATCATCTGGTATGTATATTTCTAAATCTTGCGTGCAGATCAGCCTTCCGGCAGAAGCTGTCATCACTTTGAAAGCACGATAAAGATTTTCTTCAACTTCATTTTGCCTTTTTTTTCATTCGGCTTTGCTAAAGCACGTGCACTGTCCTCTATCTTCCTGTTATACGTACGTCCAGCGCTAAAGAGTCTGACCAACTACAATATATAGTTCGTTCTAGTTAAAAAGTGTATATTTGCTTCAAAATACCTCTGAGTCTCAGCGATTTAATTCCAGAGATTACATTAAAAGTTGGAAGCCACATCTAAAGAATATGTTTGCTGAATACGGAAGCGATTCCAAACTCCATTCATGCTATTTTGCCATAATTTTCATTATTTATAGGAACATTGAAACGAACGAATATGAACCTGAGAGGCATCCACTTTACACATAGCTTTCTCGTAAGAGATATGCCCATAACGATCCTTGGATATCTTCAGAGAGCCAGCTTTCAGAATTAACTTTAGTTACAGTCATACGCAATCATTTTGCCCTGCGTACATCCCAGATGACCATAACTGTAACTTTTCGTATCTGCAGCATATCTAGAAACGGTACGAACTTTTCTGCCTAGTATACATAGATTTGATGAAATCCATAGGTGCTTACCTATTTTTATCACGGGTAAAAATTATTTTCTGAACTGGCTGTCAACAATAATTTGAACTCTTAATGCAATAAGTCGAATTTTAGATTGATAATGGAATATAAGGTCCAGTAAAAGCAAATCCATTAATTTTCTAAAAGATTGCTTCAGTAATGTGTCTCGCCTTTTATATGAACGATCGGTCTACATAGATAATATTTCGTACTAAAAAACTTTCGGACAATTTTGTGAGTGCTTGACTCAGTATTGTATGAGCACACGAAAAAGATGAACACCAGCAAAAATAAATTACGCCATATTTTACAGGTTTTCTTTGATGAAGGCGAAAATACAAGTCAGGTGACGGGAAATATGCCTATTGTTTATGATCGAATCCGACCGTAAGCACTGTTTCGATTGCCCAAGAGCTAAACATTGCACAAGGACCGTTTAGTACTGTTTAAATAAGGCTAGATACAAGAAGAAGCTCGATTAATGGGTGTCCCACAAGTCCCAGTTTCCCTCCATCGATTTCTGAAGCGAATGGTGTCTGGTGCTGGTGATGAAAAGTGGGTAACTTACGACAACGTTGAGGCTTACAACTAGACCAGGATTGATACTCAGGAAAATTTTGCTATGTGTTTGCTGCGTCGCTATGACCAAACTCATAATTCGGACCTGCACTGTTAACAATTGGACCGTCTGAAGGTAGCAATCGCCCAGAACGTCAAGCTTTAGCCCAGAACGTCCAATAAGAATGGAGTTGCGTTTCATCAGAACAACGCCAGGCCACACACGTACGGGACTCGTAAGAAGCTGTGAGATTCTTACGCGTCCGCTATATAATCCGGACCTGGCACGAAGTAATTTCTATCTGTTCCTGGCTATGGCGTTAGATTTTGTTGGTGCAAAATTCACCGCAAGGGAAGCTTGTGTAAGCCCCGATTTTTTGACGATAGTCACGAAGAGTTTTATGAGAGTGGAATTATCAATTTAACACTGCATTTTTCAAAACTATTTTTTTTTCTAACTATTAAAAGAAAATTCGTACAAAAACGAAGGAGTTTCGTACGGAATAAACACCAATCTCCGACGATAAGCCCTTTCCTTTGGTCGTACGCGTGCTTAACTGTGAGATACCTCTCTGCGATGTTATTAAGGGCACTGTAATGATATTCGAAATCGATTTTTTCGTGAGTAAGAAGAGAATAGCGATATATAATTCACAAAAACCCAAGTTCTATGCAATAATGTTTCCCTGCAGTGAAATATGTAACGAAATTGACCACTTTATTGAAGGCTACCACCTTGGGCATAACAGTACCGTATGAATTGCCCAATGATGTACGTGATGTCTGTTCGAATCTTTTGCACGAAGACTACACTCTTCCACTTTACACTACCGAAGACATGACGTATCTCTTCTCATTCTGCATTGGTAATTATCTCGAGATCAGTGTTAAAGTGGAATAATATTAAAGTGAAAAAGGCGTCCAGGAGTAATACTACAGTATTTGAAATAAACTGTTAAGTACTTGAATATGACTTACGCTTTATATGTGAAATGAAATGAATAACTTGAAATGTGTGCATTTTAAAATATATCAAACACTTAAAAGATGTGAATTAGACAAAATACAACTGAATAGTTATTTATTATAGCATGGGTTTAAACTACCAGTTTTGCCAACAATTTAAATCCGACGTAGTTTATTCTTTTGATCTTTATGAAGGTTTTCACTACACTTGATTTCATAGAGTTGCAAATAGACTTATGAATTTTGTTTAGCATAGTGTTCTCCTTGTCCTTCTCATATTTGTTCCTCACTGCATTACTCCACGTCACATTAAAGGTTATGAACTCCTCGCCTTTATGCTCCCTGCAGATATTTACTAAATCATCTGCGCGTTTCTTATACTCTTTCAACCTGTCGCACAGTCTACAGTAGTTTCGTTGCCCTAGTTATTAGATCGATTTTGAATATATCTATGCGATAATTTGAGTAAAAATTTAAATATCTGGACCAAATTATTTGGCAAACATGTTTCTTGGTACTCTGAGAAACTTTTTGTTATTCCGAAAACCACATCACTTTTTTCGAAGGCTTTCTTCAGCATCATATAAAAACCCAGCGACTCTAGACATATACAAGTACTTGTATTCTGTAAATCCAGGGTTTTAAATATATTTTCTTATTTACAGAATGCCTTGTCTAGGCCTGAATTATATCAAATGCGTTATGAAGCTTTTTTTGAAAAGTTTTATTGTTTGAATCTACAGAATTTCGAATATGGATATCTAAAAAATTATACCACATATTTTTCGAAGTCTGTAATCTGTGTCCAAGGTCCAAAAAACTCGAAAACAATCAGCTGGTCTGACCTTTCAAAACGTTTCACTTTTATAAGCATACCGATTTAAGTATGTGTCTAGATTTGTAATACGGAGACCTAAGCAAAGATACCAATTGATTTTTTCAACAAGCAGAATATTTTTTTGTAACTATAAAGCTTTTTAAAGCTAAGAAACACGAGTCTTTAAAAAAAGTCCCAATTGCAAGAATACAAACTTCAAAGTGTGAATTCAATTTTATTTTGTGATGGATTGAAGTTTGGACTGTTGATATCTTAATTTTACAGTGTTTCGAATTACTGAAGATTTCAAAAATATAATAAAATACCAAATAAATACTGTAGAAGGAAATTTTGTTTATTTCCAAAAACATTTAAATTGAAGTCTTAAATTATTAAAAGTAAAAATTAAAGTAAATCTACAATACTAGCAAACACACATACACATTAAGTATTATATTCTTGTATTCGAATATGCTTGTGGTATGTTTTCGTAATTCCTTCAAAGTTTTCACTCCTCAACAGTCACGGCGCCACCACCAATGTCATTCTTGCGCCGGTGGCTGTGTCTCCAACGCTCAGCGCTTCATTTTGCCCTTCACTTATGCGAGCGTTTCATAATTCCGAAACGCATCAATATTTAATATCACCTAAAAGCCTGCACTGGCATTATTTTTCCATGCACACAAATTCCAAAGTGGTTGGCAAACACAAACCTATATACTCGTACACTTATGTTATATGTCTGTACATACATAAATATTTTTCGAGTGATTAAAAAAATGTTGCAAAAATTTTTCTTTTATATATGTTTGCTGGGATTTACATGCAAAATGAAGCTAGAAAATATTAATGCAAATTTTTCTCTCATTTATATTGACTGCTCTAATCAATAAGTCCATAAACATTCTAGTGGATAGCCAAGCGGCAATTAAAGCCATCTGTAGCGACAATACTAAGTATCATTGCGTTAGGTTATGTAGTTTATGCAAGCAATAGCTAGCTACTACTAATAGCAGTAGTAGTAGGTAACTCGGTTAAAATCATCTGGGAACCCGTTCATATAGGAATAGAAAGAAATGAAAAGGCAGACGAGCTGGCCCGCTCTGAGGCAACTGGAGACACAATTGGCCCGGGCTGCCCCAAGTCATTCAGCTCCTTAAAGGGTTGGTTGAGGCAATGGACCATAGAGAAACACCTCAGGTCTTAGAACACAAGCAATAGAGAACAGTTATTTTGTGGTAGTGAGAAGAAAGCTACTACTTCTAAACAAATGCCCAGTCTTCAGCCGGTTGAGAAGGGACATATTTCACGGCTCTCAATACTCCAACTAAAGAGACATTGGGCAGCTGCGGTGGTAAAGAATCTGGTATTTTATCAAATCCACGGAGTTGCTAAGTGCGGCCGCCTACGGTGCGCCTCTTACCCCTACTGTATGAAATTAAGTTGAGAAATGTTTCCAGTTGCATTAGAATGATTAAATATATATTTAATGGGACCACGACCAAATGAGGTGAAATAATGAGCAGCACACATTTTATATCACAGCATTTAGGTGGTTACAATTCAGTGCATTAAAAAAGTCAGTAGAAGAGAGTATATACATTTCTTGGAGAAATATATATTTCTGTGTGGACTTTGACGAATCATCAGCAAGGTTTATCTGTTAAAATTCCTTCAGTAATAGGGATCTACTTAAAGAAAAATGAATTACAAATGTATTCCTTGTGAATTTTCTACTTTCGCACTTATACAAATAAAGGTTAAGCGAAAAGCGATTGTGAAAAAAACTTGGTAGTTCTCGTAGTCGTTCATCGACAGCAGCGCGCATTCCGTTTTTAAAGGCAAATATATTAAACTTGAGAAATATTCGTATATTGATTTGAATCTCTTAGATTTTTTTTTCAGTTAGCAATTTACTACTTCGGAAATGCATAGCCTTATCACGCTTATAGCGAGTTATTTTAGCTCGTCGATTACACACCGCTACGAACAAGACAGTTTTTTTTTAAATATCGAAGAGTTCAGAAACTAAGTTGAACAGCTCGATTTCTTAATTATTTACAAATTATCAAAACAATAAAGCAAATACCTTTTATATTTTTAGCGGCAAACCATTAACAAATAAAAAAGGGTGAGGTTCAACTACTACTGAATCGTACATTTAAAACTTTAAGGTGAGTCCATATGATCTAAGATAAATCTGAAATAATTTTTTGACTTAAAGCATTTTTCCGGCTTACAATATCTGGTAGAAGCCTAAAAGTATGCTTATAAATAACGACCAGATAACTAGATAGAACATTAGGGATGTCAACTAATTGCTAAATCCACAAAATACATTTTTGTTTTCGAAAATATTTTAAATACTACAACTCAATAAAAGATTACGCTGTAAAAATGTAAGTATATTGAAGGGCCGCATAGCGATCAGCGAAATCTTAGCGACCATTTCTTCTTCGTTGCTGAGTTTCACCCCGACGGACGTTCTCTTAAAGTCTATGAACAGGAAAAAGTCGATGAGGGTCAGATCCGAAAAAAACGATGGAAGCAGAAACAATTTGAAGTCTTATTCATGTTATTTTCCTTATAGTATGCAAAGCGGTGAATAGATGAAAGTTAGCTCACGCAGCACTTATTTTTACAAAGCTTACCCAAATATTCATTAATTTCATATTATGATCATTTAAACAAATGTTGCGTCTTTTCGTCCGTAACAGCATCTTTTAGATTTCTTCCCCTATACTTATGACATCGTAATACCAACATGGACGAATTTAGACTATGTTCGCATCAGAATTTCCACCTACAGATAAAGGCTTTATTTGTGATAAGCTTTATTTTTATACCCTGAACAGGTTATATTAAGTTTGCCACGAAGTTCGTAACACCCAGAAAGAAAACGTCAGAGAACCTATAAAATATATATATAAATCATCTTTGTGACAACCTGAATATATTTAGACATGTCCATCTGTCCATACGTCTGTCTGTCCGTCTATCTGTCTGTATATACGCGAACTAGTCCTTCAGTATTTGAGTTAGCGACTTAAAATTTTGCAAACGTTCTTTTCTCTCCAAGAAGCTGCTTTTTTGTCGGAGCCGCCGATATCGGACCACTATAGCATATAGTTGCTATATAAACTTAACGAATGGAATCAAGTGCTGGTATGGAAAGCTTTTTCATTTAACGAGATATCTTCGAGATATTTGGCATGGATTATTTTTCAAATCGGATGACGATAGCATATAGCTGCCATATAAACTTACCAATCGAAATCCAGTTCTTGTAAGCATTTTTAGTATTTGTGAAGGGTATTATAGCTTCAGTGCAATTGAAGTTAACGTTTTTTCTTGTTTTCATATCAAATTTGTTCAGTAATCTGTGAATAAAAAAATGCAATTAAAAATAAGTAAGGAAGTTCTAAATTCGGATGTAACCGAGAAATTACTTCAGGTGTTGGCAAAACTTTATATTGAAGGAAGTATTGATCTGATTTCTGATCCCATTTTTTGACACAAATATACTATTATCGATAGTTTCATTTATTTATTATATTATATGAATTTCAATTATCTATCTTACACATTGACTGATATTTTCGGTAAAAAGTCAACTAGAGGCCTCATATTCAGTACTTGAACAGTTTTGGTACGCGTTAGACAATTTTTGGTCACAAGGTAAGTGTGTGTGTAAATGCATTATTCACGCAAAGTTTTACCCCGACACATTCATTGGTGCATACTGGAAAGTGAAAGAATCAGATGGAATTTAAAATAGTGTTATATGGGAAATAGGCGTGGTTGTAATCCGGTTTCGCTCATTTTCGCACTATAACATAGAAATATAAGAAGAATGTTATGTAACGAATTTGGTTGAAATCGGTTAAGCAGATGCCAGAGTTTCATAAAGATATCTCAATTTTTACTCAAGTTACAGCTTGCACAGTCGAACGGACGGACAGACAGTCACCCGAATTTCAACTCGTCTCTTCATCCTGAGCATTTATATATATAACCTTATATCTAACTCGATTAGTTTTAGGTAAGAGTATAATTAACGACACACCTATTGAACAATCTTTATTATGATCCAACATATCAAAGGCCGATGCCAGCTCGATTAAAAGAAAATGTTTACCCTTTAAAAAAATGTATACATTTAATTTCATTCATTACATTTAAAGAATACCAATATCCACTATTTACAAAGTTGTCTCATTAATTTCAAATCTTAACTAATTGCCTTGCGTACTTTAATATCGGTGATAAAGCAAGCAACGGAGTCCTTGTTTTCATCCACCAAATTCAATTGTACCTTTACACTGATCTCTGGATAGGAGGTATCAACGTAGAAGTTAAAGCTATATACGACATCTTCGGTTTCATAAATGGGGCACATGGCATCATACAACAAATTACTGCACACATTGGCAACATCGTCGGACAGTGGGTAGGGCACTGTCAGCCCCAAAGTGGTGGCATGGACCACACCAGTGATTGATTTAATATTATCGCGTGCTAAATGCGATAAAAAATTGTTTGTTAAATAATTTATTACTTGCGATATAGAATCCTTAGTATTTTTTTTTTACTTACTGCCCAAAAAATGTACTTTCATCACCACCGTAGAGCCTTTGTGCACATCACATGGCAAATCTTCACAGTTCTCCACTTCAACGCTTAGCGGAAATGGCTGACCATTTTTGCCTGTAATACCAAAAATGAGAGATTGTTAATTAGATGAAATATTTTAAAATTTGAAATATTGCAATAATTGGCCATATTCATTTGCTGAATCTTTAGTAGGAAAATGGACTAATCTGTTACTAACTACACTCCCCGCGTGTACTGTTTTTTCGTAATACTATAATTGCGTTAACTTTCTAAAGCATAACATCAGAAACGATAAATTTATAGACGAGGTTAATATGCAGGCGCACTTGTTTATCATTTCGGAAATTGGTAGATTTTTCCGCACAATTTAGAGTCAAATTTTATATATTTTGATATTGTCGGGGTCAATTCTCAATAAGTAGGAGTTTTCCAGCATTATGGGGAGACATCAGGAGGCATCCTTACACATTGCATATTATATGGAGTGCAGTGTTCTAACACATCTGTAGCTTCTTTGTTTGCATTTCACTACATCCAGGCGACCAAATCAAAGCTAAAATCTTAGGGTTATTGACAGTCGGAATTTTATTGTCATCGACTGTGATCTAGAGATCTAGTCTCTCCAGACTTCGTGCAGTTCGTGAATATAGTGGATTTAGTGGGGAAGATTGTTAGGCTCCTTGCAGAGAAAATTTGAGAAATATCGAGCAGATAACTGCTTACTTTTGAACACATACAATCAATTCCATTGCCTGTGTGATCTTCACATGTGGCAACTCTGTACCAAAAATCGGCTAACTCACACATACCCAATCTGGTTGAAAATATTAGAGTTATACGGTTCTACTTACAACCATAGCTATTTGTTATAAACAGTTTATATTTATAATTTATAGCTCTCTGAAAATTTATTTAATTATTAATGCTCATAAATACGAAGCAATCGCTCTATTTATTGGTGTCAGTCCCCAGTTAATTCCCTACGTTTTCATTACTATTATCTAGTGTCGATTTTCCACTACTTCTTACGAATTCGTAATATAAAAGAAGTGTCAAATGAAACTTCCTAGCAGGATACAATGTGAAATCTATCTACTGCTCTTATGGAAACACCACGAAAATTACTAGTAACAATTATGAGTACACTTGAATTGAAAAAATCCGGAGAACCCAAACCCTATCGGTTTATTTGCTGTCTACACTACCATTAGTAGATTAAGAAATAGATTAGCGATAACTTATTTATGGCATTGAGATATTTTCTACTTTTTATGTGACAGTAATTGTAAATTTATGTAATTGTAAATATCAAAAGGGGGACCCATGTAAGTATTACAGATATCTCAACACAATGATTAGCAATCATTTAGGTTATATTTCCAGTAGTATTTTAATAAAAAATTATTGGATGAATTTTAAATAATTTTTAAACATATTTTAACTAATGTTTTTAAAGCGAGATCAAATTCTTTAAAAAAATTAATATTTTATTACTATATTTATGAAATTTGTATGAAATAATAAATTGTAAATTTAGTAGTGGGACCTTAGACGTTTAGCGTTCATAGCGATAAAAAGGGAAAGTTGCTTAGAAGCACTTTTCGAATTCAACTTCTTTGCTTGCTAATTATATATATATTTATATTTAAAACCTCAAACATTTTTCTCCGTTTTTTATGTATTTTTTTTTTATAATTTCAAGGCACTGGTTTTCTTTCTAACAACTCACTTACACTCATTCACTTTTGTCGCCGCTGCAGTAGCCACCAAAAGCGCTAGACACATTACGGTCAAACGGTACATCCTCGATGAATTTTTTTATAAAACTTAAAGTGATTTTTTTATTTTTGAAATGTATGGAATCCAACGGCGTAGTACTCCTTCGGAATTACCAACTCTATTTGACGCATAAGCGAGTTATTTACACTACTTAAATACCACATGCTGGCTTAATTTATTTCAAATAAAAGAACTAGTCATAAATACAATACAAACTTGTTTTTAAATTTGCGTCCACTTGGACTAGTGATGAATGCTGAGCTGAAAGGTTGCAGGTGTTTCAGAAGCACTTATCAGCATTATCCATAATTCATCGCACACGGTAGCGGGTGATAAGCTTGTTGGCTAAAAATCACTATTAGGGTTAGTCAGTGACATTTCAAAAGAGAACTAATTTAAAAAAAATGACCTGGACTTGAAATCAGAATGAAACTTACTAAAATTATTATATATATATATATATGAACAAAACTATTATACTCTGTACCAACATGTTGCGAGAGTAGAAAACCAAAAAATATAGAAAGAATATTTTCATAAAATTATGTATTTATTTTAACGTAAAATCAACGGTTTAAAGAAGAATTTAAAATGTAAACTCAGTACCATAAGTCTATAAAAGGACATACATATATTGTATATAACTACATAAGTATGTCGACTCCACTATGTTCCATGTACATTTCATCACTATGGCAACCTCTTTTAACGACCTCAAATTCTTTATTTAAAAACATTACAATTACTTTTTAGCCATTTTATATATATTTTATTATTTTTTACTATTAACATATTATTTCCATGAATAAGATTCTACACATTTTCCACATTTCCAGTCCATATTTCACTTAAGATCTCTGCACCTTAATATCGGTGACGAAGCAAGCCACGGATTCCTGGTTTTCATCAATTAAATCCAATTCTACTTTTACACTGACCTCTGGGTAGGACGAATCAACGTAGAAGTTGAAGTTGTAGACGACATCCTCGGATTCATCGATGGGGCATGAGGCACCATACAACAAATTGCGACAGACATCAGCAACATCATCGGGCAATGGGTAGGGCACTGTCAGCCCCAAAGCGGTGGCATGCACCACTCCTCTGATTGATTTGGTATTATCGTGAGCTGAAATATTCAGAAATAAATAATATTTTTGAAAATCTTTTCTCGTAATAATATTTGTCAGTTTGCACTTACTGCCCACGAAGTTGACTTTCATGACCGCTGTACTGCCTTTGACCACGCTGCAAGGCATGCTATCACATCCCTCAATTTCAACACTTAAAGGAAAAGGTCTACCATTTTTGCCTGAAATGCAGAAAATTTTTTGTAATATTTGAATTAATTATGAGTTGAGGAAGATTAGTGTGTGTAAGCGAAAAGCTCATGCCTAAAAATATGTTTGCAAAATAGGTTGTGTATTATCTTATTACAGGCAATGTACATTGCTAACCAACTGTCAAATACATTGCTATTGAAATTGCCAATGTTCTTATGTGGGCATTTGCTATAATGAAATAATCATTCCCGAAATGGCGTCATGTAGATATGTTCGAACTGAAATAGCGCATGTTTGAGCTCTAGAACCTTTTAAAAATTTTATGAGGATGATTTTGAAATCTACAAATGTATTATTTGGAAATAAAAGATTTCATATTTTAAGACTTAAATAATCGTTGCATAAAGTTTATTTACCAATTCAATAATTAAATAAAAGCAATGATATTTACAAATGCTAACAATTATCAGTAAAATATTAACCATACATATACATACATGTGTATGTATGTATTTAATTACTGTTTTCCATGTTTGGTTAAAATTTATGTTTTAAATATTATGTTGCTAAATTACAGTTTACGCAACAAAACATAAAACATTGGCATTTCATCTTTGCTGGCATCATGCGACCGAAGCATGTACAAAATTTGTGTGCAAATGAAAACAGCTCTGTCAAACCACCAAAATGACAGTTCATAGCTAGCAATGTAGTGCATGAAATGTATTTAAACATCAATTGCTAAACATTAGCAATATGCAGTCTCCATTTACAATATTGCTAGCAATTCAGATTTTTAGCACTCTTTAATTGCCCATCGAGATGCCCCTTTAGCATAACGGCGCTTCGAGTCTCGTTTACTAACATTTGTATGTAAATTAAGATCAAACAAAAATGTTAAACTGGCTTATGCTAAATTCGCAGGATGGTAATTGAAAAAAAAAATCAAATTGTTTAGTATAGTTTTTAGAATTTTGAAATTTTAGAAAACAATTAACATTTAAATAAATATAACCTAAGAGCGAACTTTAACTTCCGTTCTGATTATTATTAAATTTCACTTACATTGTCTCACATTCGTGGCAGAAACCGAGGCCAAGAAAAGTGCCAAGCACACAATAGCCAAACGAAACATTTTTATTTTTAAATAAAATTGAATTTTAAATTAGAAATATTTCTTTTATTAACACTTAGTATTCTGTAGTAGCTTTCTTCAAAAAATATCAACTGCGACTGATGTCTAACCGTCCAAATAACGAATCTTAAATAGCATAAAGCAACTGAGTGTGGCTTCTGAATCACCAGCAGGTGTTGGTCATATGTTGTAAGAATATTCGAGTAAACAAACAGGTGTTCCGTACATTTATCAGGGTAAACTAATAGCACACTGTCAGAAAGGAAGTGATAAGCACTTCGGCATTATGTTAAGCTAAATGCAATAATTTCCTCAAATGTTGTTTATTTACAATAAAGTACTGATTTATGATCCAATTGCTTCGGAAATATATTTACAGTTGGGGGTCTGCCTTTAGTTGTATTTATCACTAAAATATTATTTAATGCTTCATTGTAGCTAAAATTCTTCCGAAATAATTTGATTTCGAATCTTCGAGATAATTCGAAATTGTGTAACTTTTGTGTTTAAAAATTTTTGAGACAAAGGAACGTTAAGAAATCAACTTAATTATTATCTTGTAAAGACGATATTGCTGCAATGATGATAGAAAGATAAACACCTACCAACGATGTGCCCTCATGAGTTATTACTGGACAGCAAAATTGATGGACAGGAACCAAGAGAATAAACATTAGAGATGTTTTTTATTCAAATTCGTCCTTGACAAAAAATATAATACATTTATAGTATTTCATCAAAATTTTAGCAAATGCTTAGCTTCAATGACCACAGCAAATTCCGCACACTTCGGCGTAGTTTCCACTACATTTTTGAGCATCACGGACGCTTAGCCAATTACCCAATAATTTCGGCACGAATGTTCGCGTTAAACTCGTCAGTGCTTCCAGAATTATTGGTGAACTCTTACTTTCTAAATGACCCCACAAAAAGATCGTCAGCAGCTTATTATATATTTACCGAAATTTTTGAGCAAAATGTGACCTGGCAAAGGTCGTTCAACCACATGTGTTCTATTTCTAGTTCGACCATTTTTTTCTTTATCAGGTCTCAACGCTAATCGAAATAGCGCTCTCAATATATAAATTTTGTTTTACCACGATGATTAAGTTGTTTTCCGAAACAATTTAAGTAATGCTGCAGTCCTTGGTTAAATAACTTCGGATTACGTAGATCCGACTATTTTGTGAATGATCTACAGGTCTGGTAGATTTTGTTAATCTGGATAGCATATTGGAAATTTTGATATTTTCAATAAATACACTATTTGGACTACACGAACTTGATCTTAGAAATGATGATTACAATATTTTTCAGAGTTGAAACAGTATCAATGAAGAAATTTCCAAAAGAACAGCTCATAGAACTTAATTAACAATATGCTGTCATTCAGGCAGCTGTAGATCTACTGCTTCGTAGTTGGTCACTAACCGTACGTTAAGCAATGCATAACTTCGCTATCAATGCATCGAGTCACTTTACGTTAAGACTAATTTGGGTACCAGGCCACAGCGGAATCACAGGTAACTGCAAAGCTGACGAGCTGGTAAGAAACTACCCCCTAACTCCTCTATTTACGCGTTGTACTACTGATAACTGGCCTTCCCGGGAGTTTGAGCAGTACTGGGCTGCCATTAGTTCTTGCGCTGCCGCAAGATCCTTTTAGCACAAAATGGATCGCATGAGGTCTAGTGAGCTCTTCGTTTTCAATAAGGCTAGCATTTCTCTAGTTGTAGGGATTCCAAGTGGTCATTGCCCTATCGGTGTCCACGCGGTTAAGTTGGTTATCTTACCGGATGCCTGTTATAGAAGCTGGAAGAGAGGAGGTAGAAACATCTCAACACTTCTTTCTTGAGTGTCTCACCTTAGCTGGTGGGAAATATAAAACGCCTAAGCAGATTTTTATTGGTCTCAAGAGGCTTTGGCGACTTATAAGATCTGATTACAGGAGTTCTATATTATGTTGTTCCATGGATCCTGACTATTTGGGAAGAAGAAGAACAGATAAAACTTTGTTTTCGGTTGCAAAACTTTAAAGGCCCGATCGGATCGTAAATCAGGTTTCTATAATATAATAAAACCATAAGTATGTTAATAGGAAATTATTACCTATTTAGTTTAAATCGCTGTCCAAATGTTTATCACTTCTTTTCCAGTAATTTGTTATTAATTTACACCCATAAGTTTGACGGAACACCTGCATGTTTACTCCAACATTCTTACAACAGATGGTCAACACCTGCAACCATGAAACTAACATGGTGATTCAGAAAACGCGCTTAGTCGTCTTCACTATTTAAAAACCGTTATTTGAAATGTCATAGATTAGTTGCTATTGATACTTCTTGAAGAATGATACCACAGAACACTCTGCAAATAAAATATGATATTACTAAATTTAAATTCAAATTTATTTGGGAGTTAAAATGTTTCGTTTGACTATTTTGTGTCTGGCTTTTTTCTTAGCCGGGGTTTCGGCCACAAATTTAAGGCTATATAAGTGAAATTTAATTTAATAATTATCGGGAAAGAGGATGTTAGTCCTTAAAGTAAAATTGTGACTCATTTTTATGTTTTCAGGCATCATAATCTTTTTCAGGACACACATATATCTTTAAACTTATAAATAATTCAAATATTACAAAAAATGTCTGCATTTCAGGCAAAAATGGTAGACCTTTTCCTTTAAGTGTTAAAATTGAGAGATGCGACAGCATGCCTTGCAGCGTGGTCAAAGGCAGTACAACGATCATGAAAGTCAACTTCGTGGGCAGTAAGTGCAAACTGACAAATATTATTACAAGAAAAGATTTTCAAAAATATTATTTATTTCTGAATATGTCAGCTCACGATAATACCAAATCAATCAGAGCTGTGGTCCATGCCACCGCTTTGGGGCTGACAGTGCCCTACCCATTGCCCAATGATCTTGCTGATGTCTGTCGCAATTTGTTGTATGGTGCCTCATGCCCCATCGATGAATCCGAGGATGTCGTATACAACTTCAACTTCGACGTTGATTCGTCCTACCCAGAGGTCGGTGTAAAAGAAGAATTGGATTTGATTGATAAAAACCAGGACTCCGTGGCTTGCTTCGTCACCGATATTAAGGTGCAGAGAGCTTAAGTTGAAAATGGACTGGATATATGAAATATTTATAAATTTTATTATGTATATAGTCCGGTCAATTAGATATTCAAAGAACATAAATTTACGGCAAGATGAAAGTGAGTGAATAAGTTCAAAACACGATTAAAATTTATATATTATATTAAGCTCCTCATCGTTCTGGTATGTGGTCAAAGGTGAAATCATGGGGTTTTGCGTTTTCAACGAAATAGGAAGTGTTATCATAAAAATACCTGAAATATAATAAAAGATCATAAAATTAAATGTTTATGAAAAATATAAATGAATACTTTTTTTCTAAGAGCCATCGATGCCGATATACTTGTAAAACGATTCAAAAAGTTGTAAAAAACGCACTAAGTACACTACCTCATAGTTGGCGTGGAAATGTGTGTTTTATAACAATCTCATTATATCAGAAACGGTGGCTCTTAGAAAAAAGTATTGAACCATTTTTTATACTGTCTTTCAGCTTCTTGTAAATGAATGATTTTAAAAGCAAAAATTAGAAATTATTTATTGATATAGGTATATATTATAATTATTTATAAATTTTTAGATATATCATTTCGGCTAATTTAACCCATTTATAACCTCTAAACCACTGTCTAGAGTTATATTGAGAATTTTAAAGCTATTAAAATAAATAATTAATTTAAATTAGTTTTTCTGGAGTTATAATATTAACGCATTAATAATTTTTTTTTAAATACTCATATTTTTTAAATTTAGTGGTAAAATTAATATATTTTGTAAACACACATATGTATTGTATATGGTATATAGTAACATAACAATAGAACTAGCTTTTTACCAAAGTTAAAATATATACCACAAAAGGTTGAATTTTACTTGTTAAAAATGTGCTTAGAACTCTGGCAACACTCTAAAGGTCGAATGTATTTCAAGCGCGAAATTTACATTTAAATAAATTTTGTAAATAATCGGGAATTTATAAACGATTCATAAGGAAAAGAAAAATTGTAGTAATCGCATCAAAGATCATTGAAATGGATAAGGCCCTGGTCTTAGCAGCCGACAATAATATAAGAAATTAAATCAAATTGAATGCTGCGATGCCAGAATCTGGAAAATGGGACGATTTTATATTACGCTATCCCGGCATAATTGTAAGCGGTTCCAATGCCAAAGGGACAGTAAAACTAAAAGTATGAATTTTTACAAATCAATAATGAATTTAAATGCATAATATTGCAAATTTATAGGGCAAGTGGTACCGTTTAAAAGTGATGTGTCCACATTTCCCTAAACTACAGGAAGCGCAACTGGAACTATTGCTGCCACAACAAATTAAATTTATAAGACTAAAATATGAAGATTTAGAAGCTGATTGGACGTTATATGATTTAATGGAGAATCTGCCACAACTACAAGCAAAGTACATTAATGCAGCAAGCCCAAACGCCAAAAGTATAGAAATAGCAAGTTCCAATATATATAGCGAAATAGCCGCGCTCTATGCGCCACAAAATTATCTATTGGAGCTAAATGACGCATGCAGTTTACTGCGTTTCTCCAAATTCACAGCATACGAACAACATCATTTACAAGTAGAACTCCCAACACTACGAATAACTGAACATAGTCTACCCGACTGTGTGCCATGGGAGGAGCAGCTGCAGAAATATGACAACCTAACCGCAATGGTGCAACAATTCCACAACTATGTGCAAGATTTACAGCCGTTTTATGAAAATTTCGCCGATATTGATGAATTGTGCTATGTTGTGCAGCCAACGCCGCCAGTTTCGACCAAACATAATTGGCGCTTATTTGTGTTGCGTGAGCGTGTCTTTATCAAATTAGTGCTGTCGGATCCCTTCGCACCAATTAGTTCGATGTCAGTGCAGATAATAGGACCCACGCAAGCTGTCGAAGAGTTGAGACGTACGTTAAGTGATGGCCTGAGCGAATGGGATGCTGAGTTGGATATACATAAGAACTTGTTGCGTATTTTCGACATCTGCTATTTTCCCATGCCGCCTGGTAGCGGCTGGATGGATGTTGATGGTGAAGTAAATACCTCAGAGCAAAAATTTTGTAATATTTGTTACTCGTATCAACTTGAGGGAGGTGAAATACCAATTGTTTCATGTGATAACCCACAATGTACGCTGATATATCATGCGGCCTGCTTGAAAGAGTGGTTCAACACGCTCACTGACGGAAAGGACTTTCTCAGTGTCTCTTTTGGCAGTTGTCCCTTTTGCAAAACTGTAAGTTTTCAGTGGATTTATATTTAATTGTGAAGTGTTCTAAGACATCATTACCTTTTCCCTTCCCAGAAACTTTCAACATCTTTCACTGAGTTATTGGCAAATTAATTTTTAATGATTTTCGAGTAATCTTATTAGTTTAAATATAATAAGTTATTATGTATTCAATACATCACTGTAATTACCATCAGTGTTTGCACATCAATTCAACGAATATTTCATATAGACTACGCTAATGAGTAAGCCTAAAACAAATGGCTGTTTATCTTTTAATAATTTTGGTTTTTATTCATGACTTATAAGTTGTTGCACTATTGTAATATGCAAATCGCTAGAAACTTTTTAAATAGCTGCAGTTTTGGCTTTGAAAAGAAATTATTTGAGTTTTAAAACTAATAAAAACAAATCGTAGCGGCGTTGAAAATTAACTTTGTCACTCGCCTTCAAGAACTTAGCGCAGTTTGTGTTAGCAAAAATTGTCATTCCACTATAATTTTAATCCACATGTCACAGTAAAGTGAAATTATGCAATGAAGTATTTTAATATACAATACATATATAGATCAAAGTCCACACAAATTTTTAAGTTTCTTATAAAAATAATCCAAAGTGAAATTCAATTTTGCTTTCCCTCTTGTTTATAGTAATCAGAGGGCTTTCCACTTGAAGTTACTGATGCGTTTTCTCGCTACTCGCTGCAAGATCTCGGCGATCTAATTGGCCGATGAGTGTAATTTTTAATTCTATACGAATATTAGCACCGCTTAAATATGTATATAGAAAATTGTATATCATCCTGGGTGAAACGTTTTACTTGTCTTTAATTATTTGACAAACCAAATGCGGCACATCACTAAACGCATAGTGTCATACCAAATCTATAATATTTAGTTCCTTTTCTTGCGCTCGATGTGGGCGATTATGGCGCCTCATGCCGCAACAATGGCAATTGCAATTTAAACGCTTCACCACTCGCCAAATTCATTGCATCTCGCGGCGCACCAATCTCATCAAGCTTTGAAAAACAGCAGCACGTGTATTGGTGTTCTCGGGTGTTGGTGAAGTAATACGTACGCTGGAGCTGGAGATGCCAAAGAATGATTTCGGCACTAAATTCGGTTCGAGCGCCTTGAATTTCCAGCCAATGTGACGTGAGCAAATTTTGCAGAGAATAATGTGCCATTCATAACTGTAAGTTGAGATTTTAGCTTAAATTAGTACTTGAAAATTAATAATATGCAGTTCAGTTGCCTTACCCAGGAAACCAGCTGAATTTTGAGGATGGCTGACCACTATATGTAATTGCATCCGGTAATAGTTGATAGACGGTGTTCGTTTCATGTATATAACCAGCTGCAATTATGATTACAAAATAACAAATGTTAAAATATATTATATTCAAATCCATTTCTCCAATCATACCCGAATTGCAGTATTGTGTTTGCACGCCATGCTTGGACATTGCGAAGAGTTGTTGACAATTCGCAATGCGATTGCCACAATATCGACAACTAAACACCGAATCCTGTATAAAAAAGTTAAAAAATAAATATAATTAAATATAAAAAAAATTGTCAAATCAATGCAACCTACATCTGTAAATGTATTCGATATAAGTTTCATGCGCATATTAACCGAATCCGTCAAAAATATAGTCTTCATTAGACTATCAGACAGATGCAGATTGCGCACCAACCAAAATGATAACTGTGTTGGATCAGTGGGCATTGTGTCAATCTTGTGCTGTGCCAATTGTGTACGCGCCTTTTCCACTATGGCCGTAATGCTGTAGTAGTTATAAATATGTGCTGGCCAAGCTGTTGTGGCGGCTTGATAACGTTTATAGCTTTCGCGCATAGAGTTTATATCACGAAATCGATTAAGTGAACCCATATCAATGCATTGAAGTGGTTCGCGTAGATAAATTTCGGGAAGTATTCTAACTTTGCCATATACCTTGAATTGAGGATGGGCGGCTATAAATGATAGTGGACTGCAAATAAAATTTGACTATGTGAAATAGAACAATAGTTAGTATTACACTTTATTACCCAGTTACTTGATTGCCTTTAGTGACAAAACGTTGTAAAGCACGCGATTTGATCAGTGTGTTGCCGCGTTCGTCTGTGCCCTTTTCATATATTTGACAAGTGACTCCATAAAAGTTATCATCTATCTCCTCGCTGTTGCAGAGTGTGGGGAAACAAACGCCAAAAAGTAAACCGTTTTGTGCGCTCATGTCAGACTCGATAATCGAACCAGAGATCATAAAGGGCAGCACTTCGCCGGGGAATAAAATGTGCTGATGCATGAAAAGCATTAAATTGTATTGTTGACCCACTTCCAAATAATGCACGCCAGACACACGGTCCATATTCTCGCCCAAATATGAATGTTCAGCTGGTAGACTTGTATCAAAGCTTACAGGATTTTCGGGTTCGGCCTCTTCCACTTCGACTTCAACTTCGTTGTTTTCCGTTTCAATGCGTCGACGTTCTCTATTATGTTCCATAGTAAAGAAAGCGCTACGTAAGCGTTGCATAAAGTTTTCACCACCACGTCTATTTTGTACAAGCATTTCACTAAAAGCAGCGCGCATTTGGTCATCTGCAATGAAAAAAACTTTAGAAATTCTCACATACTTTTTAAATATAGACGTTACTAACCATCAAAGACAGCATCTGGTGAAGTTGAAGCATCATCCGAAATGTCCTCTAGCATTAAGTTATCCTCACCTTCATAATCCGCAATTGGCTGATCATCAACGTCATCGTCCACACCTTGCTCGCCCATTTCGTCGTCTTCTAAAAGTGGTTCTATTAGCGGTGAGGGATCAAAACGGATTTCATGGTTACTTTCATCTTCGTTTTCGTTATTATTCTGAGCAAGCTCCTCTAACGATATATCATCTGCTTCAATTTCTTGTTGTACCTCAGCGTTTCCAAGGCTTTGCTGCTGATCAGCTTCAATATCCATATTGGTAGCTACTGAAACAGGCATTAAGTTATTGTCTATTATTTGCACATCTTCTTGTGTGTTAATTTCCTCCTGGTTTGAATGGGTCGCGTCAACATTTAATGCAATGGGTGTTGTACTAGCATCTGTTGGCTGCAAGTCGCACTCCGTGTCTGGTTGTGTATCGGCAATGTTGTTTGTTAAATGTTCGTTTGTCGATATTGTTACGGACGGCTGTTCAACAACTGTATTTACTGTTCCTGTTATATCGAGTTCAATACTACCCTCTACAATCGGTTTTGGTGTAGATTCTAGGGAAGACACAACATTACGGCCTTCGTTTGGTGGCTCAGCTGCAATATTTTCATTAATTATTATCGCAGTCGGTTCAGTAGTTTGCTCGTCCCCCGCACTTCCCGTATTTAATGCTCCTAAATAAAAGAACAACGTAGTGCAAATTAATAGAATATTAAAATATGTTTTGTTGTTCTGGCATCGTCAATTTATAGTAAGGTCTATTACCTGTAGGTTCTTGTAGATCCATTTACGTTTGATTCCAAAAAATTATCAAACACAAATTATTTTTATTTACTAATTTTTTGCTTTACTGATTTCATGAAAATTCTTTTATGTTTTCGTTTTTACATTTCTTCTTCTTCTTGTGGTGGTATTATACACACCATGGGTAGCATATGTATGCGCACATGTAAAACTAGTTATAATGTGTTTTATTACTAAAAAAAATATATATCTCACATAGAAATGCAAATCTAGAGATCATATGAGTATATTTTCGAAAACATTGAAAGGTATTTCCTAAATTATGAAGTCTTATGAGAGACACATGAACATTGTCTATGTCACTGTAAGTAGATTTCACCACATTTAAGTGATGTCCAACTGCCAGCTTCGATATTATTAAATTTTTTTTTAATTTTTATTAATACTTTTTTAATCAGTAAATTTCTAAAATGTTGATTAATTCTATCATATTTCTTGATATAATTATTAAAATTGCGAGTACATGCAGAAACATTTTAATTTGAGTTTTTTCGAATGTACTCCGTCTGAACCCCGTTTGTCCCAAATCAGCTGTTTATTGTTTATGATAACCGAAGTCTAGAAAATTTGCAATGAGGAACTGAATGAATAAATTAATTGTGGATAACTCTCAAATTTTGGTGCTTCTAACAAAAAAATGACTCGTTTTAAGTGGCGCTACAGTAGCGAATTAAAAAAATTATTGTAGGTTGTTAATGTATGTATATCAAGTACATAAAAAACTTCTATCTGTGTTTTCAGCACTAGATATCGGGCTCGTTGGAGCTATGCAAAGATATGGTTTCGCAGACTCATTACAGAATTTGATTCAGACACATGCTTGGAACCGATGTTCTGGTTCGTCGATAACTACACACATTTATTAGGACCAGTGAGTGTTCGTTGGCCTATCAATTGATATAAATTAATTTGTTCACATAGTTTTTCATATTCGCTGTAACGGGATTGACAATTGCAGTAGTTGTGATTGCCTATTGGATTGGTTTACCGTTTTGGTGGGACAAAAGTCCCAAAGCTACTGTGTTTTTACTGATTATTGGCAACTGGCTACTGCTAAATGTCATTTTCCACTATGTAATGGGTGTAATTACACCGCCCGGTGATCCCCCAAAAATCGTAAGTAAATATTAAATATTTAAGCACTTATTTTAGCTTTTGGCATTGTAGGGTGATGGCTCCTTCGAGGTGCGCAAGATTTGTAAAAAATGTCATTTACCGAAAGCACCACGTACACACCATTGCTCCATTTGCAACAAATGTGTACTGAAAATGGACCACCACTGCCGTAAGTATTTCACAGCGTTATGCAGACACTAACTAAGTTTCTCTTATAACAGAAAATTAATATTTGACGTCCTGTTGAAATTAGTTTTATATTTGTGCTTATTGTTTATATTGACACAAATGAATTAGAATTAATTTTCTTAAGCTCGGTGTTATGTTAGTGTACATATTTATTCTAGCGTGGCTGAATAATTGCGTCGGCTTCTTCAATCATCGCTACTTCTTCCTTTATATGGCCTACACCACTCTCGGTTGTCTCTTTCTAATAGTTTTTGGCTTTGAAATCGGCTATAAACATATATGGCTAGATCATGGTGATAGTTGGATAGAATCGGAACCATTAGAAGGCCAGCCAGTTAAATTCAATTTAAGTGGACACATTATACCAGTGGTAAAAAAATTACTTTTATGTTATTTTTGAATGTTTACGCATCGTTAAATTTCCCATGAGTTGCAGACTCATGCGCACGAGTACGATGATGACCTATTGCTGCCTGCCAAGCATGCACTGCCCACACCGCCTACCTCAGACGATGGCTCATACACAATGGGGAGGCGTCGTGCTATAATATTTATGGCCACTACGAACGTAACTGCTGTACTAGCTCTGGGTGCCCTCACCATATGGCATGCCAAATTGATAACACGCGGTGAAACTAGCATTGAGGCGCTCATAAATCAAGAGGAAACCGAACGTTTGCTTAAAGAAAACAAAATTTATGTTAATCCATATAATTTTGGCGCGCGTAAAAATTGGAAACTATTTTTGGGCTTGGTGCGTGGACGGTAAGTAATGTGTGCTATTGTGAAAAAGCTCTAAAAATATCAAATAAGATGGCAATTTAAACTTACTTACTTTGTAGAACATTTTGGCGGAGCGTTTTACTGCCGTCATGGCATAAGCCTGAAGGTAATGGTTTAACTTTTCATACGGTACATGATGAGCGCGCTTATTTATCAACCGATGAATGGCCATAACAAAATATGAATACTGGCGAAAATATTGAGGCACAATGCGTTGCCATTGTAATTACCAAATAAAAAGTGCTGACTTTATTTATTTTAAAGTGCGTTGCAGTCGTTAACATTCCTCTCATTTGTTTGTTTTTTATTTTTTTTTAATGTATGTGCAAGCTTATATTAGGTTTGACACTAGGCTAAATTAGTATTTAAAAGAACTTGTAGTAAATTAAAAATTAAAATGTTTTATTAAATTAATTATAATATTAAGTCTATAGTATAATGTCATCTTGTAATACATCTCGCACCACTTTGTATTTATTTTAACTTACGCTCTCTGTCAGTATCCTTACGTACACAGTGTTGTAACACATACTTACTATTTTAAATGCAATCAATAAAGCAAATTTTTTATCAAAGATGTTATTCATGTTTTTTTATATATTTTTAAAATATTTTTAAATTTAGTTTTTTATTATTATTAGTTTATTTTTTATTATTATTAATTAATTTATTATTATTATTAATTTATTTTTATATATAATAACTTTTTTATTTATATATTTTTATTGTTTTTCACATATTTTTTAGACTCTGAGCAGGTTGTATCTCTCAGAAGAAAAAGCCCTTTATAGTAAAAATATATAAATATACTTAAATTATATACAAAATATTATATAAGTATACGTAAAATATTAGCGTGATGATCTGACTTCATTTATGTCCATCTGTTCGTCTGTTTATATGCGCGCTAGTCCCTCAGTTTTCGAGATATCGATACGAAATTTTGTACACGTCTTTTTCTGCACAAGAAGCTGATGATTTGTTGGAATCGCCGATATCGGATCACTATAGCATATACATAGCTGCCATACAAACTGAACGATCAATCAAGTCTTTGTATGGAAAATTTTTTATTTCACAAGATATCTTTTTGGTTATTCAACGCTACAATCCCTGAACAAATTTATCGGATGCGGTCGCTATAGTATATAACTGCCATTCAAACAAAAAAGGAATTAAGCTTTGGTGCAGCTGAGTTAGCGTTTTTTCTTGTTTTTATTATTATTATTCTTTTTTTATTTATAATTACATAAATATATTATATATTTATTATTTTTACTAATAATTAATTTTTATTATCTTTAATTATTTTTTTGTTTTTAATTACATTTTTTTATTTTAAAATTTATTTTTTTTTTAAATTTTATTTAATTTTTTTTTTAATTTTTAAAAAACTTTTCTAATTATAATTCTTATTTTGTTTTATGTGCAATTAAATTTAAGTAGCTCCACACATTTTTGTGGTTATTAAGTTATTTTAATGCCAAAAGCCAGCATTTGCTGACTGCTTTACCCCAAATACGCTAAATATTTTAATAGAAAGCTTGCATATTTGCAAAACCGTAAAAATTGACGATTTTTTATGTTTTTGTTGTTTTTTGTTTATTTTCTATCAAATACTCGTATGTGTGTTTATCATGAGATAAATTATAATTATTATTATGATATTAATTTCACAACATAGCATTGAACAAAGCACGATATGTCAATAATATTTATTTTTAATGCTCAGAATAAAAAAATAAATTTTTGTTTAATATTATGTTAATTGCCTAATTATACCTAGGTTAGATATCTTTAAATTTATCGTTTTTATTATAATAATTTGTTAACTGAAAACATAATTCTTCATACTTAATATATTTATTTATATTTTACGCTTAAACAAGCTCGGCAAACATGCATTTGAACTCATTATATAAGGCATAGCCTTGCTAGACGTCAAAGAGCTTGCTGCGCTGCTAAATTGCTTTGCCCACTTAATTATATTCTTTGTATCTAGCGCGTTTTACTTTTTATTTACTTTTTGTTTTATTTATTTATGTCAATTGTTATGCTAATTTATATTTTTTCTGCAAATATTTTGCATGCACTTACCATTAAGAAGCGCGTAATAAAGTATAAGAAATGTGTGTTGTTGCTTTGAGCGGTTTTCATAGCCGCAATCTTCGTTAAGCAGTCAAGTTCATTGAAAGGGATTCGTTATAGATCAAGGATTCGCATGGCCGAATATGCAGTGTTTTTGTTTACAGCGCAACTTTATTTGTACCGTTTGTAGAATATTGAAAACAGTTATGGAAACAGTTATAAACAAGTTTCAGGCAATAATTAAATTTATTGAGGTCTTGGTCAGATTCTGAGCGTTTATGGTAAGCGGTAAAAACAAGTTAAAGACCAATAACTAAATTTACAGTTTTTCAACATAATCTAATTTTTTACAATTTTAAGTTCATTTTTATTCGCACTTTAAATATTTTTCATAAAAAAGCATTTTTATGCGCTTCTTGGACGCTTATGGAAATTATTATTATTTTTGCAGCATTTCGGTTACATACTCAACAATATGTATTAGGTCCTATATGACTATATACATATATGTACATAGAAGCATAAAAACATACATATATATGTAGCAAACATACATATGTATGTATGTATGTACCTATGCATAAGCACGTTTTGTTAATATTAATTTTATTTAAATATTTCGTTGACCGCCAGCGGGCGCACACTTGTCAATTTGCGCTTCGATCGCGCGGCCAGACGATATTAACAACAATTTGACGCATAAATGAGCAGCCCACAGCCTCAGTTGAACGGTGACAGCCAAAGGTAAAGCACATACAGCTACGATCAAGCGGCGAAACGCAACGCTGAAAAATATCTGTGTAAATGCAAAGCGTAAGCGCCAAAACGTGATTCGTACGTAAAACACAAAAATAACAAACAAATATAACAAAAAAAAAACCATTGTGAAAAAATAAAAATTAAAAAAAAATCAACGGAAATTAATGCAGGAAGCAAAATATTAAGAAGCCAACAGCGGTGCGTGCATTTGTGAGTGAGCCAGCGAATTTACGAATCTCCGATTTTACGCGAAGAAAGCAAATGAAATGCGCTCGCGACGCTTGCGAAGAACGACGTCGTAGTAAAAGTGTTGACCAGCGCGCAAGTAGGCGGAATTACTGAAATTATTTTACTTATTATTGTTGTTGATGTGTCTGCGAAAAACGAAAGACTCGCGCAGCAAACTTGAACTTCGGAAAAACAAAAAAAAAATCAAAAAAATATTAAAAAGAAAGATAAAAAAGAAATAAGTCGGCGCGGCGCTCAAATATGTGTTAAGCGCACACAAGGCCACAAACAAGCATCTCGGGAATCGACGCTTGCACATGCGCATGTTGCTTATCAGTGCCGTGCATTGCTCATTCATTTTGCTGGCGCTTTTATTTCTGTTTTGCGCT